TAAACTATTTAAATGGATTATATTATTTTAGGTAAGTTAGATTCGACTACGGAGTTTCTCATTATAGATCATCTTTCAGTACAATGTAATGTTCATACTATACGATTCGTTATTTTACAAATGACTAAATTTTTAAAATAAAATATTTTAATTAATTTTTATTTTAAAAGATCGTACAGTATGATTAACAGAAAAATTAAAATATTTGTCTTGCACTCCCAGGGGCAGAATTGTGTAGAGCTTGATTCTTGTAGTAAGGATAATGCTGAAGTCGACCATGCTTGTAGTCCTGTTGATGGTGTTGTTGGGAATGGTGATGCGGATGTTGTTGCTATTGCGGATCAATTACCTGAGTTGCCTCCCCTAGTTTTTGTAGAGGTCTTGCCTATTAGGCTTGTGTCTTCGTCTCACGTTATGGTTGATCCATTGAGTTGTGCTGTTGTTTCGAATTCTGGCAAGTTGGGAAGTCCTAGGGGTGGCTTGTCCTACTCCTATTTATGTGGAGGTTTGAAGGAGAAGAATAATGTTTTTTGTGAGATTAATTGGGATGTTGGGCATGAGCTGTCTAGTGGGGATGTTGGGCTTGAGCTGTCTTGCGTTTCAGTCCACCTTGTTTCTCCTCTTACTCCAGTGGATTTGGTTGTGGTTGCATGTGAAGTGGTTCATACTGTTTCTTCTCCTACTATTCAGGTCTATGGCCAGCTTGTAGAGGCTCCTATCAATTTAATTTCTACTAATGATTTAGCTACCCATGTGGGTGATAGACCGGGGAACAGTGTTAGATGGCAAACCGATTGGCTTGAATGCTCTTCTTATTCTGAGGATGAAGAAGTGGATGCGGGTAATCAGGATATTATTTTGCGAGATGATCAATTTTGGGTAAATAAACGTCGGAAGCGGAAATCTCAACGATAGCCTTTTTTGGTTCTGCTATCCTTTGTTGTCCTTTGATGTTTTTTTATGGATGATTTCCTTTTTGTCCCTACGGAATATCGGCTTTATTTGGGCTATGATGTGGCTCGGGCTTATCACTTCGAATCGGTGGCTAGTTGGCAACCTTTGGTGGTCGTTCTTTTGAGCGTTGCTGGTGGTTGACTGGTTTTTTTTGGGTGGATTATTGCCCAATCACTATTTTGGATGGTCCGCGCCTGGATTCGGAGTGATTGGTAGTCTGTGCCTTTACTGAGCCCCCTGGCTTTATGTTCATCTTTCTTCTTGTTTGAGCTTCCCACTATTATCTTCTTTTGTATCCGGTTTTTATTTCGGGGCTTCTACTGGGTTTCCTTTGATGTACTCCTTTTTTATTTATGGAATAAAATTATTTTCTTTTGAAAAAAAACCTACACTTTTTACAATATATTGACTAAAAAAAGATAAAAATATAGACTTTTGCAAAATTCAATCATAAAACTTGATCCTTTGGTAATGTTTGGTGTATGTTGTATATGAAATGTTAGTATACACAAAAAATATATGCAATAATAATGAGCAGGATAATCAAAATAAACTCACATAATATTTTTAATCATCAAAATATAAACTTGGAGTCGAATATTGAAAGTCAGTGACTGATGGACATTGATTGTTTGTAGGCATCATTAAGTGGTATGCAGTGGCAACGGATATCAATTTTGACCTAGAACTACTATTAGATAATAGAGATCATAGCTCCAAAATCCTCTAAGCTCATTTTTTTCCACAAAAAATCCTATCTATAAACATGCCAAAATATGAGATACTTATAAATTTTTACACAAGACATTCTAATTTTTTAATCAAAAAATTTGAACACTATCATGTTGTAGGAATAAATACTCTTTGATTAATATGCAAATATCTTGAGAAGATATCATAATTAAACCTAAATGTAATGATATTATGCTTGATTTGATAGAATTATTTGATGATGTGTCCTAAGGTAAAACAAATATTTGAGAATAATTTAAGAAAGATAGAAACATTTTGATGGTGGTGGCAAAGTTGTTTGTCCTTATTTGTTCCAATTATTATGCCCAACTGCTCAACTGAAGAGATATTAATGATTGAACATGGCCTTTGCTTCACTATAGAGCTACCTATCTAAAACAAGTCTAATATTTTATGCATAAAATTTTTGATGGTGGGGAGGTTGGGATAAGGTAGAATATGATCTTGAGCTAAGGGAAATGGTGCAATTTTGTTGGCACAATCTCAAACATGGATGCGCAATAGATGTGTGATGGAAAATGATGCTATGGCTAGGATCTAGTGACAACTAAGACACACAAAAAAGATAATCAAGTGGCATGAGTTAGAATGAATGATGCACTTAGTATCAAAGGATCGAAGGCGGAGACAAGGATCTCAGGAGGATAGCTTGGCAGAAATGAACGAAATCAGCAACAACGAGTTAGGGTCGGACAAATATGGCGATTGCAAAAGTTGAACGGAGATAAGACAAGACATCAGAATTAACACCTAGTGAAAGACACAGTAAGCGCGCCAAGTAGGGGTGTAAACGAGTCGAGTATTTGCCTTATCAAGCCTGTTTTAATCCTTTGAGCTCGAGATCGAGCTCGAATAGTGAGCTCGAGATCGACTCGTTTAGAAAAATATCAAGCTCGAGCTCATTTGAGAAGCACCAATGCATGTGATGCGTATTATTATATATAAAAATTATTATATATATATATATAATTGTATATTTCTGGTAGCATTGATAAGCTTTACGAGTTCGAGTCGGTTGAAAGCTCAAACTCGAGCTCGTTTATCATACGAAGCTTGATTTAGGCTCGAGCTCGAAGCTCGATAAGGTCGCTCGCAATTAACAAGCGAGTTTGAGCCACGCTCAAGCCTCACTTACACGCCTTAGTAGCCAAGGATTAATACAAAATAAAAAATTAAAACTATAAATAAGAAACATGACAAACCATCTTAAGAGCTTACCAGCCTAAAACTTTATCTGTCTCTTATATTTTGGTTAGCATATCCTAAATAGCTCTATCCGCTGTGTTGGCTTATATGAATAAACATATAATAAAATTTTTTTTTATTATTTAATAATAATTTTCACTATAGTAATGGAATTTAGCAAATTTATAAAAATAAAATTTAAAATACCTAGATCCTGGATTACGTCATCATCAGAAGGAATATAGACCGTTTGAAATGTCGGACCGGCAGAAATCTTCGGAGGCAAACTAGTTGGGACAAACTTCCAAAAATTAATTTCCGAGACACCCGAACTCCGATTATCAGCCAAGCTTTGTCGAACATGCAACGTCTGGAAATATGAACCAACGAACAACCAATTCAACGCGCAATCCGAGCCCAATGGGTCGCAAATACAGGATCCGGAGCGCTGTTTGGAATAGGTTCAAACCACAATTTTGAGTTACAAAAACCGGTCTCCGATTTTGACGACTTATACTCGAATCCACACGGCTAGAACGAGACGAATCCACCGAGCTAGATTGCTGAAATTCCGACATTAAGGCCCTCCAAATGTCCAATGAACGGTGCACAATCTAGGGTTCACTATCAGACCGTCCATTCGAACCACTCCATTCGCCTTAGATCTTCACTCCTATTTTACGGGCCATGCCACTAACCAAGAAAATTTATAAAATAGAGTACTCATTCTACAAGAGATAATCCAAGGCAGAGACTGAAGGCAAGAAGCATCCTCTCGAATCACCAGCCGGAATCTGGCCGGCCACCGCCGACCTCTCGTCGGATGAACGTTGGAAGCCTCGCCGGACCAGTTCACGCCGGAGTTTCACCAGGCACCACCATCTCAAGGCCGGCGACGTTCAGTCCGCGATGCGCTTACTGAAGGCCTGACATCCAGGCCCAACTTCTCCTCAAGGCCGACTTTTCAGGCCTGAATGGTCTTTCATCTAGGGCCACTCATCTTCTCCAGAAGCCCTCACTTTTGTGAGAGGCCCTAGACCCTCGCCAAGAGGCCTTATGTTTTGCCAGAGGCCCTTCGTCTTTATCAGATATACTCATGAAAGGCTGTATGCTCAACAACAGACATCATAATGAGGCCTTCACATTCGTCAAAAGGCACTACACCCACAACTGATGGCCTCTCACCTTCACCTGGGCCCTCACCTATCGCCCAAGGCCCTCCTTCCGCGGCAAACGGTCCTCTCCTCGCTAGACTACACCTGACGCATTGCTTGTCGGCACACACTGGCCTGGACTTCTACTGGGCCACTACCTGATGTCCAAAGTTCTAATCCAAAGTACCGTCCTACTACAACAGGTCATGTTCTGTACCTTTGTGCGCCTACTACGGTCATGACCAGACCCATCATTCAACAGAACAACGTCTTATTGACATCGATCTCCTGCCGACTACGGTCCTTCCGATCACACAACCCATATATATGTAATTCCTACTATGATAATGCAATCTTATGATGATACTTTGCTACATAATCCAAGGCCTTCATCCCAAGGAAGAGCCAATCATTTGATAACGACTACAAATCTAGTGGATTATCATTCAACTGGGTCAGGTCCCAGTGGTTTTTCCGCCCTTTTAGGGGTTTTTCCCGTAAAAACTCTGGTGTCTCTTATGAATGTTCACTCCTTGTAGTGCTAGGATCTGTCGAACAATGCTAAGACTATTAAACCATATATTCTCTACCCGCCGGCGAATACTCCAGGAGCAACAACTATCAATTATGGATAATACATTAATTTTGAAAAATATCAGAATCATCAAATTTGATTCACTAATTATTTAATAGTTTAATTATACTATGTACAAATAGATAGATTCAGTAATTTATTTAAAGTTTGTGGATCAGTTTATTAAAAAAAAAATTGATAATATAGAGAAAAGACTTTCAATTGCTAATATATTTATAAATCATTATGAAATTGAAAAAAATCGAATTGTAATCAACCCGGTTCACCCACAGCGCTCGATGAGTTTAGAGTTTGGACCTCTCCCACGCACGTGCGTAAGCTAACGCTCGTGTCTAGTCTCGAGAGTATAAATAAGAACCCACCCTAACCTCTCTCTTCGTCGCAGGCTCGCATCAAAACCTCATCGCACTTCCACCTCCGATCGGTTTCCGGCGACCGGGAAACCATCTCCATCGGGGTATGAGGAAGAAGATCCATCCTAGTTCCTCTTCATTCGACACCCCAAAGCCCTCCTGCGTCGACCACCACCAACTCCATCCTCACCCACCTCTTCAGACAGCGGCGCCGACGACCCTCACCGTTTGGCGGAAATCGCTTCTATTCAACTGTAACGGATTCACTGTCTTCGATTCAAAGGGAAATCTCATTTATCGTGTCGACAACTACTCCAAATCTGGAAGCCAGGGCGAGATCGTACTCATGGACGCCGCCGGCAAGCCCTGTCTCACTATTCGCCGCAAGGTACAGAGAAATCGATTGTCTTTCTAGATATACTAATTAATACTTTGTTCGAAGTTAAAACATGGAGGGAAAAATGGATAGTTCGAAAGCATGAATAAGAAGAAAGAATTTTCTTCTTCTTCTCTCTGCCGCTAAAAGCGAGCATAAATTAATTAGAGATTCAATAGTTCATGTATAAAATTAAGGAATCTGAACTGAATCGGTTTTGGATGTGCAGACGAAGCTGATTCTGGGCGAGCACTGGGGGATTTACGAAGGCGAAACTACGACGAACCCTAGATTTTCAGTGCGAAAGCACAAGAGCCTCTTCCAGTCGAAGGCGCTTGCTCGCCTATCCCCTCGTTCCGCGGCGCCAGTCGGATGCGGCTGCAAAGTCTCCATCGCCGGCGGCGAGGGGTACGAAGTGGAGGGATCGTACAAACAGCGGCGGTGCGCTGTGTTCGACGAGAAGCGGCGGGCAATGGCTGAGATCCAGCTGAAGGAGGCCGTGAGTGGTGCGGCTTTTGGACTCGATGTATTCCGTCTTGTGGTTCAGCCAAGCTTCGACTCTGCTGTCGCCATGGCCATCGTTATTCTCCTCGAGGAGATGATCGGATCCAAGACCTAGCCATCATGAGCTAGTTTTTATTTTTAATTTTGGGCGGTCTTTTATTTTGTTCTTCTCGGCTTTTGTCGTTATATGAAATATTTCTGGTGACAGAAAAAATTGGTATGCCTTTTTTATGTGCTCTAAATGTAAATTCACTCTTGATTTCTTAAAAAAAAAAGGTGCAAATAATTTCCTATTTCTCAATATCTATGATTTTTAGTCAAGAAAAAAATTTATGTGAATAACTAATTTATTTGGATGCAATTCAATTTAATTTGTTGGGTGAGTTATTAATTGAAAGATCTTAGATTTCAAATGTCTATTTTTGGTATTTCTCGTTATTGCCGACCAATACCAAGCAATACCTAGTAATACCGAGTACAACTCAACTAATACATAGCAATATCGGGTCTGGGTCGTCGGGCCGCGCGGTAAAGAGTAAGAGCATGTGACGACATGTTATTGTCGTCCGGATGTAGAGCTACGTCAGGTGTCCACATCTAATAATTTTTTCTATTGTAGACCATACATAATACGTATCTTGGCCTAAGAGACTCGTTAGTGACTCTTCATCCTGGGCTTAATTTTTGGTCTCAGAGTGAGTCTTCAAGGGAGAATAAGCAAAATAAGCCTCTTGAACGAGAACTTTTATTCTATCCAGTGAACGTACGCAGAGGAATGTTCGATTTTAGGCAAAAAAGCGCCTGTACCGAATTTTTTCGTTCACTAGATAGAATAAAAGTTCCTTGAACGAACGGGTGAATTGACGAGGCAAATCTCGTAGATGTGTCAGCCGGTACAAAGTGGTTCATGAAATGTTTATTATTGTGTTGAAGGGGTTCTCCCCTCCTATGTAAAGAGGCCTTAGATGAAGATATATGAACACCTTGCAACTCCATATAGGGACAATACTTAGACTTTTCTAACCCCAGCGAGTTACTTTTATTTATTGTGATGTTGTGATGTCTATGAATTTGATTTAATTGAAGAAATTTTTAATTAGAATTATTTAATTTAGTTTTTAAATAAAAAATTTTATATCATAATATCTAATTTTAAATAAATTGATATTTGTAAAAAAATTTATTTATTATATTGATTATATATAAATATTTATTATTTTATTATATGATTTATAATAAAGTTTTCATGCTATTTAAAAATGTGACATTTTTTAAAGTTAATGTTGATCAAAATTGGATAAAAATTCATTTTTTTTTCTTTTGAATTTATTTTAAAAAGCAAATGAATTACGATTTTGATTGGATATTTATTTATGAATTATACTAACATCAAAATAAGTTAATAATAACAAAATCATATTATTCTTTTAAGAAAAATATGCATGATATATAATAATTTTTATCGAATGCATGGTATCTTAAAGGAAGCGCTAATTTAAAAAATAAATAAATTCACGTTTCGTTTGAGACGGCTTTCGACCACTAATTTTTCATTGCTTTCAGAAAAAATTTTGTTAAAAAACCCCGCTTTCGAAAACAGTGAAAAAGCCTCCCCAAATGAAACCTTAGTTACAAAACTGAAATTAGCAATTTGAAATATTATGAATCTGAACTTCTTAGTGTATAGTAGTACATGTTCACATACAGGTTTGTTTCGCTAATTAGTGAAAATTATTCGTGGAGGTTAGACAAGTCAAATATGATCCCTATCTGGAGTTGCAAGGTGTTTGCATGGATCCATCTATGGCCTCTTTTTTTTTTTGGGACGTTGAGGCGCCTCGAACGCGGGCTCATGGGAGGAAGAATTTCACGTCTACCACTGAGCTGCGTGCATGAGCCCATCTATGGCCTCTTTACTTAGCAAGGAACAACCCCTCAAGCTAGGCTACTTTCTCTCACCCAACCTGACATGCCACCATATACTCTTCAGTTATTACATCCCAAAGGAACTCGCCCTTTATGCCTAGTAGCCCGAGATTTGTACCGACTGGCACACCTACGAGATTTGCCTCGTCGACTCACCAGCTCGTTCATGAGACTTATCATACTTATTCGGCCTCGAAGACTCACCCTAAGACTAAAAATTGTGCCCAGAAAGAAGAGTCACATAGACATCTATTAGGCTTATACAGTCTATAATGAATTATAATTAATGATGTACTTTTTTTATCTTTTATTGATGTAATTTTTTTTTGTAACCCTTAGATTCCTGTAAATAACGAGTGAAGAGACGCATTTTAGATTTTTTGGAACTTTAGTAATCTACTTGAGCTTTTTTTTTTTTTTTTTTTTTTTTTTTTTTTCTCAAATAATTTTTTTTTTTTTTTTTTTTTAATTCCATAATATTTGCATAGACCGTCTGAATCTTACCCCTCTTTTTATTTTTCTTTTTATTTTTCATACTCATCCTAGATTTTTGGAACAATTATTACGTCCTCCGACCGGACGCAGAGGAACGTCCGATCGGAGGCCAAATCCCGCCAAAAAATGAGTTGTACCGAGCAAATACCGAGCAATACCAAACAATAACGAGGAATACCATTATTTGAAGACCCAATACCAAGTTATACCGAGCTAAACCGAGAAATACCGAGTTATACAAAAGTTGTACCGAGTTTTTCCTAGAAAAACTCGGTACAACTCGGTATTTCTCGGTACAGCTCGGTATAACTCGATATTGATCTTCAAAGAGCGGTATTCCTCATTAATATCAAATAATATCTAGTTGTATCAAGCAAATACTGAGTTTTTTGGCAGTATTTTGCCTCCAACCAGACGTTCCTCTACGTCCTTACATCGGACGTAATAAAAGTTCAGATTTTTGAGTTCTAGTCTTTGCAGATTGGCTGTTAGTAAGGTCAACTGTTATCCTTAAATAAATTTTTATCCCTTTTCTCAAAAAACAAATAAATGGATTGATACATCACGTAAAAATAATCTTGATTGGGCACGAATCTCGAGGCGAAACTTAGTTGGAAACTTTAAAAATTAATTTCGGGAGCATATGAACTCCGATTTCAGCGATCTTATAGTCAAACTGAGCGTCTCGGAAATACGAACCCAACGACACCAAGATCAACCCAATCCAAGCCCAAATGAGTCTGAATCAAGGGTTCAAAGCGTCGTTGGAAGGATCAAGCCACAATTTGAGTTACCAAACGGTCTCCGATTTTGACGAACTTATGCTCGAATCGAAGGGCTCGTCGAGACGAATCCAACGAGCCCAAGATCATCGAATTCCGATATCATTAAGGCCATCAAATGTCCAACGAACGGTGCATGATCAAAGGATTCGATATCAGCCGTCCATTCAAACCACTCCCTGTTCGCCCTTGATCTCACGCCTATTTACGGGCTATGCCACTCCAGAAAAACTATAAATAGAGCCCTCATTCTACACCAAAGGGACTCAAGTGAAGAGAGAGAGGAAGAAGAGAAGGAGAAGGAGAAAGGGGAATAGGAGATTCCTCACCTCCTCGACCACCGCCGCCGGAGTTTTTCCTGCCGCTTGAAGACGCCGGAACTCTGCCGGATTTTCAGGAAACTCAGGGAATTCGCAGGATTTTGTGAATTTCGTGGAAAAGAC